GATTTCCCAAAACCTCACTTGTGCTAGAAACAGCCTAACAGAAAACCGCATTCGTCAGTGGTTTATAGAAGTAGAAGTCATGGCTTTTATCTTTCACAGCCACCTATGCGTTATAGACTTATTTTGCATTGAAATGAAAATAGGTGGATATGCTGTAATTGCAACATGTGTTATTTTTATGCTGCAAATTTGATTAGGGAGTGATAAAGTTGGTGTTTTCTACTATATACTATCAACATATTCATTGTTAATATTTTAAACCTATAACACGCGTCTACATTTTTATTATTTGTGTTTGATAAGAAGAAAACTAAGATTTAAATAGTTGGGCCAACTGAAGTGGGAAGGGGCTCGTAGATACTTTCAGATAACTCCTGTATAAGCTGGTAAAATAATACTAGTACGAAATACTTCAACCGCCAATCGTGAACCTAGAACCATTGATTGGAGATAACTTATTCATGCAAGGATGAATAACGAATCAAGTGCATAGGCTAAGAATTGGAAGATTTGCAGTTAAATATTAAAATCAATCGTAGAACTGAGAGGGGCTTTGTGTTCGAGTCAAGTATAATTACGTAATATAGCTATTCTGAACAAAAGTTCGATGCAGTTTTTTCACAATTTAAATACGGGTACGGATAGAGCACAGAGCTGAATACCTGGTTTGTGAATGCCTTATACAAAATATGTACCCGTTTCCGGAAAATCGGTGTGAAAGGTAAATGATAGGTGTTTCTGATACTTAAGCACATACATACATTTTAAAGTTTTTTCTCTTCAAGAAACGCGTGCAAAGTCTTCCAGTACTACAAAGCAGGATTTAGGAGACAATGAAGTGTATCCCAGATATCTTGACATTTCTTAGTTGAGGGATGATGTCAAGCAACACTATGCTGCGCGACTCAGTGGAGCAGGTTGATAGACGTTCAAGCTCACATTCCGCACTGTGACCAAAAATGTATCTGGAACTTTTGATACTCCCACAGCTACACTCCAGAAAATCTAAATCAAAATTTGTTTTAGTGCCCAACAGAATTGATCCATGTACCAAGTCAAAAAGACTAGGTGTTTTGAATTATACTGATAATCTTCGCTTGTCTGTCCAGTGACGGCGGCGTGAAGGGAGATGAATTAAAAAAAAATAGGAATAGCTGGAAACTTCGTTTTTTGACGTTTTGGAGGCTCCTAATCACTTTCAGAAACGTTTTTGTAGGGGTTGAGGGTGTAAGCGGTGGGGAAGGTTATACAGGGTTGTGTATGAGCATGTTTGATTGACTTGATCCATTCAATTTTTGTGTACTCCATACGCCTCTAGCAACTGATGACTGCGTTGCGTTAGAACTGCAGAGTCAACCTACTTGACGTCATTTTTTCTTTACTCCAATCATTCTCTGTTTTACTTGACATTGGCAAAGCTCCTACGGACCGCCCAAGGAGACAAATGGCGAATATTAACAGTGATAAAGTATGCAAGAAAATGACGTCATGTAGGTATACGTCCCACACCTCCGAAACAGCTTCTAGCACAATTTTCCAGGTATTAGCTTGAGCTTTTTATGAAAAAAAAGTCCTAACACGATATCCCCATTTCTTTGGAACTCTGATGTAAAGCTTTCGTCAACAATCTCTGATAACCGATTATAGTTGTAGCTCTTGATATGTACCTATACCTTATATGTACTACTCGTATAGGTACTATGTTAGATATGCGATCCGTCTACTGAAAATATTTTGAAGGCGAATGTACGCGGAAATCTATGAAGTGTCTACTATTTGTGTAAAGTTACAGGGGTCGGAAACGTATTAAGATACTAGAATGAAAAAATTGTGATACATCATCCACCATCCCCATACACGTTACCGACAAACAGACCGACTGAAATGAGTGACTTTTTCGTGATGTAGATGTCTTACAAGATCTAAAAAACATAACATTTCATTTTGAAATTTTTTTGCAACTACAATATCACGTCGTTAGTAATATGTCACAGTTTTCAGCCTGAAGCCATCCATTGCACGTTCTATTACATTTTTTTCCTAGAACGCTCCTTAACTACACCCTTGCAGCGCCCTAGATTCCAGACATCCCCCACCTCTATCATCACACTGCAGCAATTTTCTCTCACGTAATTCAATCCCGTCTCCCTCGTATAAGAGAAAAGATCAAATAAAAAGTCCAAGAAAGTATCAGATTACGGCCGGCTCGCCATTTTTGAAGTTAACTTTATTATTTAATCGTTTTTCGTCATTACGTCGCTCGCCAACCTGGAATGTACTCTCAAAGTATACGAAACACTGACAGTAGGATTACTCAAAGGTACGAAGTATCATTTTTTCAAAGTCCTTGCCCTCGCCCACGATTTAGCAGTCTAGCAAGGAGGGGTGCTCACGGGCTAAACATCGATTTCGTCTGAAAATTTCCTGTATATAGATATTAGCCTAATAATTCAAGCCTCAACAGCATTTTCCACAACGTGTGCAGGATCTATGGCGTCTTCCAGTAATTCCAAATACATTTCACCGGTCAAATCGCCCATCAAAGTCGTCTTCATTAAGTTCTTGTACCAGGTGAATTTTATACGGATGAAAACTATGGGCCTTTAGAATCCGTTGGACAGTACGTCGACTAACACCTCACACAGTCTCCTATTTGCGGGTACTTAACGTAGGATCTACATGAGCTTGCCCTAAAACCTTCGCTTCTATTGCTTCGTTCCTTATGGGATTTTCAATGTTGCATTTTTTATTGGCAACTGACCCAGTTTCCCGAAATTTAGCTACAAGTTATAGAACATATTTTCGATGCACGTTACTGTTCTCATGTCGCTCATTAAATATTTCTGCTGTTCTATTAGCGCACTGATTATTTCCGAAAAATATTTCGATAATTTCAACTCTTTCTGATGTGGAATATACCATGGTTAATTTATGTAATAAAGCGTTACAAGTTATTTTAGCAACAAAGTTTGGTCAAATCAATCGCAAACTATGTACTAAATATCTTTCTTCAAGAAATAACTTTTTTGCCACAAAAAAACGCTCCAATAGCTATTTTCAACAACAAAATGATAAAAAAACCATGGGCGTAGTGAAGAAAAGCATTTACTTATTAAGTAAATTCTTTTAGTCAAATTTCTTCTCAAAACTGGTACAAACTAATTTGATGTCCCTATTAAAGTCTACTTTAAGCTTTAAATCAATAAATCTTCAAAACTACTGAACTGAAGCTCATGTATTTTACATCATTATAAAGGGAATTGAAAGACCTTTAAAATAAGGTATCACTCGACCCCCCTTTCCGTTTAAGATTTTGGGGTTGTTGTCACCCCCGCACAGGGGGCTGCACGTGTTAACTTGACTTTTTGCCAAACTTGTATCCCCCTCGAAAACAAAATCGACGGGTCTGAGCGATTTTCCAAAAAAAAAAACTGAGCTGCCAGTAAATGCGTCTGTTTCGTTTTCGATGCGCCATCCTGCATTAGTACATTAATACGCTGATCAGTAGTGATCAGTGGTGATCAATATACTTTGGGGAAGGAGCCCCAGATTCTCTCATCAATTTTGGGCTTCCAATAAGTATGACTACTTCTATTCGTAAGCACCGGATTTCACTGGCATTGCGTCTGTTAGATACACTAAGTGACATATAAATCCGAACACCCAGTTTAAATGGTTTTATTTTAATAAAATTTTGTATAAGTACTTAATGAAGCATAATAAGTAAATGATAAAAATTTCAAAACGATTGCACTGCTTTAAAGCCCTTTGACCTTTAATAAGGTGTGGATGCACCCTGATGTGCTACGCATTCTCCAACGCGCCTAGGCATGCTTCTGATCAGGTGGTCAATGTCCTCCTGTGGTATCTCATTCCAGGCAACCACCAACTCCTCTCGAAGTGCTTCTAGAGTCTGAGGAGGACGTTGCAAATTGAGCAATCTCCTACCCATCATATCCCACACGTGCTCAATTGGGGATAAGTCGGGAGATCTTGGTGGCCATGGTAACAATGTGACATCATTATGTTGAAAGAAATCTATTGTGACTCTTGCAACACGTGGTCGGGCATTATCTTGTTGGAAAGTTGGATCTGCCAGGGTGTCAAGATAGGGTAAAAGATGGGGTTCTAGAACTTCGCGGATATAACGCTGCGTGTTCATGTTACCTCTGATGAAGATTAAAAGTGACCTGGAACCATAAGCTATAGCACCCCAAACCATAACTCCAACAGTGTGATGAACATGTCTTTCAACAAAAAAACTGTGGATTCCTCCTTTCACCACGTCGCCTTCTAACCCTGGCACGACCATCGTGCATGCCTAAACAAAATCGAGACTCGTCACTAAAGACAATACTGTTCCATTCCTGATCCCAGAGTGACCGTTGTTTGCACCATTCAAGGCGATTACGTCGGTGTTCTCGAGTTAAAGGGAGGACCGAGTGTGGCCGGTATGAAAACAAGCCAAAACTTCTCATTCGTCGGTAAACACTTCGCATGCCAATAGGTCTTCCGTGTTCTGCAAACCATTCATTTGCAGTGGACCTGGTAGTGGAGAAACGGTCCCTTAAGGCCAATAATCTTAGGCGGCGATCTTCACGGTCTGTTGTTCTACGGCGGCGTCCAGTGCCCCTTGCTCTTTGCGTACGGCCTTCTCGAAGCCATGCCTGACAACACCTAACCCCAGTGTCTACACTTCTTTGCACTCTAACTGCAATTACCCGAAAAGAAAGTCCAGCTTCCCGAAGTCCCACTATACGGCCCCTATCAAACTCACTAAGTTGACGAAATCGTACAGGTCTCCGTACTCTAGGCATCGTAACCGATCGTAAAGAATGTCAAGAACCAAAATCCGCCAACGTTGATCCTTCACTGCGGCTGAAATATTCATTTTTAGAGCGTTAGTGAATTAAAAAAAAGCACTATAAAAACCGGAATGTCCAACTGATAAGACTGAAAATTTTTTCACTTGTTATTTACAGTAAGATAAATACATTCACCAACTTTTATTAAAATAAAACCATTTAAACTGGGTGTTCGGATTTATATGTCACTTAGGGCCGGTTGTTCAACTCCAGTTTAAACCGCTGTTCAGATTGAACTAAGTTCAAAGTTGAAAGTCAGTTGTACAAATAAAGCTCAAGGCTTGAACCCAGTTCAAGTAGGCATAGAACCTGACCGGTCGATGTCCCTCGGTTAAACTCAGTTCAATGTGAGTAACATAAATATCGTAGCAAAGTTTAGCGAAGGAGTTGTGTGTTAAGTTTAAAAATGGACATTCCCGAAGAGATAACTGATTATGAGGACTTCTTAGAATTAATAACCATCATACATATACCCAGGTTACCCAAAACTTACAAACAGAGACCTGATAATTTTCGGATTTGGAACGACACTCAATTCTTGCAACGTTTTAGGTTATCAAAAAGTACTGTTAGATCCATAATAGATAAAGTTGCAGATGATATCAGAAATATAACAATACAGTAAGTTCATTTATAATTACTAGGTATCAGAGCTATTCCTGACGGGTGCATATTGTGCTCCAAATTGAAGAATAAATATCATTACCTATTTCAAATTTTATATATTTTATATATATATTTTTAAACATAATTTTTTTATAAATTTATACAAACACCAACTTATGGGAATGCTGTGTTGCATCTAAATTGAAAAATCGTTCTTTCATTGTCGGTGAATTTGCAAAAACCATCTGAGCTGCTCAAAGGCTACTCACTCTACATGAATGGCCCTGGGTTGATATAATGCGGGTGGGATTTGGACAAATGTGTATAAAAGCTATTTTTTTATAGAAATCATGCCCTCACGCCAGATGATATGGTCTTTGTTACGCTACGTTACCTTGCAACTGGGTCCTTTTTGCAAGTAATAGGGGATGTACAAGGTATGGACAAAGGAACTGCAAGCAGGGTTGTGTCGAAAGTTATAAAATCATTAGCAGTCCATTTTAAAGAATTAATAAAAATGCCTGAAAATGGCGAAGAGAGAACTGCGATACGTCAAGAATTTTTCAATATTGCTAGATTTCCTAGGTGCATAGGAGCTTTAGACTGCACCCACATTAAAATAAAATCTCCAGGTGGTGCAGACCCAGAGAATTATAGGAACAGGAAAGGTTTCTTTTCCTATAATGTACAGGTGATTTGTGATGCCACTTTGAAAATACAAAATATAGTTTGCCGTTGGCCAGGTGCATCACATGATGCAAATATATTTGCAAATAGTAGAGTTCGAGCCTTATTTGAAACCGGACATTTTGGCGATAGTTTGTTGGTTGCAGATAGTGGTTATGGTATTAAGCCATATTTAATCACACCACTAAGCCGACCTGAAACTCAGAGTCAACACTTATTTAATGAATCTCAAATTCGCACAAGGAATCCTGTCGAGAGATGCTTCGGGGTATGGAAAAGACGTTTCCCCATCTTAGCATTAGGAATTCGTGTAGCGAAAGAAAAAATTGAGCCAGCAGTTGTTGCAACAGCAGCCTTGCATAACCTAGCAATTATTATGAAAGACCCACAACCTGCAATAAATAATGAAATTGAAGCAGCAGTTGAATTTATTAACAACTTTGATATTGTACCAGTCCCAGTTGGAGGTCAAGATGCATCTAATAATAGGACACGATTATTGTTAATTAATTATTTCCAGGATTTATTGTGAATGATTCAAAAATTCAGTTTTTAGTATTTTTCTAATGTTATCTTCGTTTCATACTAAGTGAAAGTGAAAGATATAAATGATGCAATAAAGAATATTGGAGATTTTATGTATTTATTCAAAATAGGTAAATAAGATGGCAAGATTAAGAAAATCAAATTTTATATTTATTTAACAGATACTGTTTTTCCATATTTAACATTTCCATTTTAATGTTATGTACCTCATCTTCCCTCTTTTTTCTCTCTTCATACTCTAGTTGCATTATTTCCAGTTTATTTTTGTTTTCTTTCATCAGTAGCTGTTTTTTCATTTCAGATTAATCCAAAAGGCATTTTTCTTTAGAATCTTCCAAAGATTTTTTGGATTCGACCCATTTTTTCATTTTTGTGCAAATAGCACCCCTTTTTTTGAGCAGTCGGTCTTCACTAAAATTAAAATGTTTAAGGAACATCTTATTGTGATCCACATTTACTAGCAACATATAGTATTTTATTACTAATTTCATCAACAAGAACAAAAAAATTTACAGCACAACATGCAAAAACTTTCGATTTTAGTACTAGAAGTAACAATTCCTTTTTGAAATTCGTAATGAATATGAAATATTTCTGGAGATTATAATGTAGATTACCTTCTGCAGTTCTCAGAGCACTTGATTTTGGTGTGCGCAAAAGGGATGTACTTAATTTGCTCCAGTCCCTCGTTTGATATCTACTGGATTCTGGACCTTCTAAACGATGCGCTATTTGATTTTCTTTATCTGTAAAATCATGAATAAATGAGGATTCGCCACAATAAGGCACATATATTGTGTGTATTTACTAGCAACAGGTAGTATTTTATTACTAATTCAATCAACAAGAACAGAAAAAATCTACAGCATAATATGAAAAACTTTCCATTTAAGTTCTAAAATAGGTTTTTTATTTTCATAATTCAAGATAAATGCCATTATAAAAAGCATGCAGTAATGACGATATAATAGTTCTGTAGATTTTAATGTAGATTACCTTCTGGAGTTCTCAGAGCACTTGATTTTAGTGTGCACAAAGGGGATGTATTTAACTTGCTCCCCTCCTCCGCCTGATGACTACTGGCCTCTGGACCTTCTAAATGAGACACTTCTTGATTTTCTTGATTTTAAAACTATTTATTTTATTAGTACCACTGTTTTGAACTTCCTGTGTCTCCTCTGAAGTGATTTCATCTGAAACACCTTAAATTAATAAAAGTACATTATTTAACATACATTCGAAACTTATATTCCTCAATAATTAAGTCCCTGCATGTAGCATTCTCAGGTATGTCACAGACAACTAAAAATAAAATTAACTTAAAAATATATTCACTCAACACAATCCGGCTTCCTTACTCATGTCATCATCATACGCTGAAGGGTGTCCTTCTATTCGGACACCTAAAATGTCTTTGACTTGTTCATCAATATCGGTGAAATGAACTGTTTTTGAGGCACCTCCTCCTGTAGCAAACAGGGAACACTTCTCCTGTGAGAACTTCTTCTTTGACCTTTTTTTGATATTGTCATATTTATTCTTCAATGTTTTACTATCCCTGTAGGTCACCGCTCCACTGTTAAACTCTTTTGCAATCATATTCCATGTCTTTGCTTTTGAAGAGTTTGTTACTGCATCCGTTTTACGACATTCAATAACATCTTTATATTTATTCACCAGTCTAATTAAAAGGGATTCCTCTTCCCTGCTAAAGTTACTTGTTCTCTTAGGTGCACTCATTTTTCAAATAAATCCACTACTACGAAGAGAAAGAATCAGCAGCAATTATATTTTTAATAAATATAACATAGGAAAGATAATGAAGCAATTATATACCTACCCGCGAGAGCGGATGTTGCGATATATTTATAGTCGAGAATAACAAGCTAACTTCAAAAAATCGCCAAAAAATGATTCCAGATTGTACCTATCGCTTCGGCCTATAAGTAAAAGCAAGTGAAAGTAGGGTTATGACTTCGGTCAAAATCACGTCAAAATGACATTATTGACAAGTCTTATCATTCCGTGCCTAATAACATAGTGCTTATGGTATTACCAACTGCTGCATATTTGAGGTTCAGTGGAACCGAGCTTGACTGACAGATGAACAACGCACATGCATTTGAACTAAGTTCATATTTTAACTGGAGTTCAGGTGATCTACAGTTTAACCGAAAGTTGAACAACCGGCCTTTAGTATATATAGATAGATAGATACGAGTAGTAGCTTTATTGTCCAACAGTGGCCCATTAACAGGATGATGTTATACAAAATCCATACAAAAGATACAGAACAAACTATATAACAAAATTAAAATATTTCATGTATATTTTTGACCTACGTATGTATTAGCTATCCTAACTAATTCTTTGTTAGAAGTACAAAATATGTCACAGAAAGTATAGATTCTATTGAAATTTTTATAATATATCGGGGCCTGAAGTCATTTTGTCCTTAACTTTCTTAATAGCAATCATTACTTCATTATCATAAACTTCATCAAAATATAGATGAGCAACATTGTTGAAACTATCGTCCAAATTACCCCAATTGGCTGCTTGAGACTCCATGTAGACACTCAAAATACACTAAAGGCATTCACAATGTCTTGCGGATTATCATATGATTCGTTGAGGTAAAACATCTTTCCAGGGATCCTAGAAGTGTTCTTTTTTGAATTCACATATGACCAGAACCTTCTAGGATCATGCGAGAATGTTCCCAGAAGGACATAATTTTTCGATAAGTGTGATTAGTGCACTTTTCCCACACCTTCTGGGTTATCCAATGAACGTTTCTAATTATTCCTAACCATGGAAATGGTTCAGAAAAAAAGTCTGTTTTCAATATTGTCCTTTCTAACCTCAAATATTACTTCATACCCTGCGAACTCCGCCTTAATGTCGCATGTCCCTTTTCCAGGCGCGGATCCAGGGGGGTCATGGGGGTCATGACCCCCCCCCAGGCGAATTTAGTTCGATCACTAATTTTTAAAGTTCCAAATCTCTCAGATAAATCTGTAACGCACACATATTAAATGGATGCCGTACTGGTATTTTCTACAAGCGGCAATGTCAATTTTACCATTACTTTAATCCATCACTGTGACGGACAAAACCTCAAAAAAGTTGTTGCACTGGATCCAAGGGACATGGTAAGTATTAATATTAATCGATTCGCAGGAAGACAAAAAAGTAGAATTGATTTTATTTAACAATAAATTGTTCATTTTTAAATTAGATTTAATATTTTAATCACTTTTAGGTTTTACCCTAAGTGTACAAGAGTAGCGCTGTCATCTGGCATCCGTCCGCCAGTCAAGTTTTTAATTTCTGTGCCAGATGCACTGATGTCACCCCCCCACCACCCTCCCCCCTAGGAACACCTTCCTGAACATGAAGCTTTTTGATATCCCCCCCCCCCCAGACGCAAATCCTCCTGGACTCACCGTTGCCCTTTTCTCCATCTGACCGTTTGGAGCTGTATTCTAAATCCTTTTCATCCGATTATTTCACGGTGTGTATTGCGATGGTTAGAAACCAAATCCATAACAATTACGCAAAAAATGACAAAAAGAAACTGTAAAACATGGTTTTTCAGCCATTTCTATACACACCATGAAACACTCTGTCGAAAAGTACTAATAATAGTCATCCAGACAGGCTGTTGGAGAATGGGACAAGCGGCGTTAACGAGTTAGAAGATGTCAACACGTCTTTTTCGGTGGTGCCTTTACTTGTCGTCATCTGTAAACTCATCCTAGAATGCACTCTGTGCCGCTATGGTGCTGAGAGCCTCGCCGCTGGGCGCAGTTTTGCTGGAACAAAGGGGAATTAATTACATTAACTAGGGCAGTGTCGGTGGGGTTTGCTCATGGGGAAAATCTTCAGCTGTTGAAGTATCCGAAGATAGGTGCTTACAAAAAGGCATTAAGCGGATTAGATTGACATAGCCCGACAAAGTATTCGATTCTTTTGAAAATACGTTTTTATTTTCAGTAAGGTGAAGTGATAAAATCTGAAGTTAAATGAGCATTACCTCAGGCTCAAACATTAAATTGACAATCATGAATAAGAATACAGTATATTCAGATAAGAGATAGACCGGGCATAAACAAGACCACGTGATCATCGAACGCTGTAACATTCGGCAGGGACGTATTAAGAGTCACGCAGTACATATTTTAGATAGTAGATGCTGCTTTGCGTAACTTTGTAGTAAATTAGCACAATTCGATGTGTATACGATTGGTGATGGATATAGAATCATGTGGGGGTGGGGTAAGAAATATATAATGATGTAAATATACATAAGGGTTTCAAAATTTTCGCTTCGATTTCCAGCTTCGGATGCCGCCTGATGTTTGGTGAAATACAGTCGAATATAATCTCAAAATGGCGTTTAAATTAGCCTAAATTAAAAATAATCGTATATCTCTTAAAATTGCTTTTAGAATATTGATTAGTATATTTTTTGATTTCTAGGTAAATATGTAACCAAATTAAAACGTTCAAAACGTAAAAAAATGTGCATGGTTGAATATTGTCAGAAAGTAGATTCTTGAATAGGTTTTGCCAAAATGGGTTCAAAAATGTCAATAATTAATTAAAAAATACAGTAGCTTTATAATTACTTATAACTTACCGAATTTGATGAACGACATCTTTTATTGGAAAGATGAGCTTGATGAGCTTTCATCATCGCTACTGCCTGAAGCACCAACGTCAATAATGAATGGCTCGACTTGTTCCTCTAAAATATTGTCCAGTTCCCACATTCTCTTTTCAACTTTGTCTTTCACGTGCTTAATACAGTTTTCCCATTTTTGCGCTGTTATTAATTCTAATGCTTCTTTGAAAAGTCCTTTGAGGTCACAAAATTTAAAAGCTGTATTGTGCTTAGCTATATAATTTTTAACCTCTGCCCATATGAGCTCAATGGGATTGAGCTCGCAATGGTATGGAGGTAAATGGAGCACAGTTTTATTTTGACTTGCTGCCATTTCGTCAATGGTGTATTTTTGATATTCCGCCTTGTGATCCTTGACAATTCTTAATAATTGTACTTTCAGCATTGCTTCTTCAAAGTTGATATTTTTCGAGCGGAGCCAATTTTGAACATCAACTTTCCTTGAAGCCGTTGTTGGGACCTTCTCCATTCTTCGAGAATGATAAGGCGCATTATCCAACACAATTACTGCGTTTTCCTCTAAGTTCGGTAAAATTTTTGAAAACCACTGTTCAAACGATTCGCCATTCATTTCCTCGTGGTAATCTCCAGTTGTCTTAGACTCAAAGCACCACAGACCGTCAACAACAAATCCATCCTCACTGCCAATATGGCAGATAATGAGCCTTTTCCCTTTACCTGGAAATCGAAGTACTAACTGGAGTAGATTTATTTCAATAAGCGAACCTTTTTCAAATGTTTTCATCACATTCAGCGAAAAAACATTGAGACATGAGTATCAGATTGCTATAATTGGGATTATTTAGTCATATTGAAAGAAAGAATATTGAACGTCGTATGATTACTCAGCGCTTCACGATTTAATTTAAAGTTATAAACCTTTAAAAAATGAATGATCAGGAACCTGAAATACGCGCAAATATTAATATTAACAAATTATAACTTTATAAAGCTTAAAGTATGAATTAAAATGATTAGAAATATTAGGAACGGTACACAATATAAAACTTAGTAACTTTTTTTAAGTTTATAATATTCGACATATTTTAAGATTATATTAAAAAATTATTGAAATATCGAAAACACATAAAAACATGGCTTAAAAAAGTTCTAACAAATGAAAATGACAATAAAACATCCACGCATTTTATCGAAAGTTATAAAAGTTTTGTTACTTGTAATATGTTTTATCTGCCCCTAGGAATTAATGTTTAGAACCTTGTTCCCAAGGTTTGAAAAACATCCGATTGTTGTCTATTACTCGTATTTACCTGCTGGATTTTTTAATCCGGTGGACAGTCCATCTAGAAAGGCCCTCCTGGATGAAGTTACAGAATCATCAACCCATACTTTACTTGTAGTGTGTCCTGCGTTTACCCACGTTTCATCAAGGTAATAAATCTTCCTGTTTTGATTTCTGTATTTCCCAATTTTTGTTAAATAATCCCTCCTCCATAGCACAATTTCTTCTCTATCCAGTAGTAAACTATTACGACCCCGTTTTTTCCATTTGAAATTTAAATGCTTCAGTAACGCATGGAAAGTTGATCGTTTGAAATTTGGCAACGTTGTATCTCCATTTACCTCCTGCAGTAATTTATCTATAGTAGGTATTTCATTCCTAAAGAAGAATTCATGCACTTTCCTCCTAATCGCATGCTTATCAGCTTCATCCAATGATTTAACAATACTTTTGCGATGTTTACTGGTCATTGGCTCAGAAAAGGTGTGATTTTTTTTGTATTGTCTTAACACATTAAACACTGATGCGCGACACACCCCAACTTTGTGAGAAACCTTCACAACAATTTCTTTGATGGTTGATGCCTCGTTCTCCTCGCGCTCGATCTTATATATATTCAAAATGACTTCATTCATTTCTGCACTCAGGTGTCTTTTTTTAGAGCGTTTCCTAGGTGGACTACAGGAGTTTACAACTTCATCGGCAGTATCTGTACTACTGGGCATTTTGCGCAAGCAGTTGATAACAATAACAATCAATAACAAGGTATAACAATAACAACGACAAACTCAACAACTTAATAAGATA